TGTCAGGGTGTCAAAACCAAAACAGATGGTTTCCTTAAGAGGCCACACCCCGAGCATTTGACCTAAAGGTTTGATTCACAAAGCAGTGGAGCAACGTAAAGAGATGTAGTTCCACGGTGGCAGGTGACCAACAATTGTTTCATACGCCATTTATTCCCTCAAGATCCTGGAGTTCATGTCCATCATTGGTTTGGAATCAGGGTTTTCCAACTCCTCTAGGTGGGTCCTCCATATCTACTAGCCCGCTTAAAGCTCCGAATATTCGCTTTTCATCCTCCCGATTTCGTGAACAAAACCCCCGCCACGAGAAGGCGGTGAGTAGGACTTCTCTGGCTGTATACAAGTGAACATGTGAGAGCATTTCGAGAGGGATAGTTGATTCTCCCCACCCTCGGTCGTACCAGGGCATCTAGAGGATCTGTATACTGTTTAATTCTTATGGCAGACAACGTATGTTATTATTACTATTATTCTTAATACATCTAGGTCCACCTACATAAAGCGATAAAGATTATATAGAAAACAGAATAAAACATTAAATCACATGGCCATAGAACTAACCAACTAAATTAACTGTCCTCAAACATACGGGAACCTGACTTCATGTATTTTCTAAAGTTAATTATGGAAAGAAATTATCATGTGATAAGATTCTTATCCTTCTTTGAAAAACAAACTATAATTGGTCTTATTGTGTAATGGACAAAGCAATCCATTATACTAAGATTATTTGGTAGAAACTTGGTAGATTTGAAGGAAATATTTATGTTGCTTCATGAGAATAATAGAAATATGAATATCGATCACAAGTTTGTAGGCACTTAAATACAAGACATAAAATAGCTTTACAACTTATTCCTTTAACAAAAATCCATGTAAACCTGAAGCATTATTCGAGTAACTACTTACCGAACGAATGTGTAGGACTTGTTATTTACTTGTAATGAGATTTTACCAGCTAAATTATTACATCTTGATGATACTGTTGAATAATGCTAAATTTGAAGCGGTTACGAGTTCATTTAGTCTGTGAACGAAACAAAGACTTGTGATCAAAGACCAACAAAATAGCTATTCTATTGTGTCCAAGCCCAGCTAACTAGAGAGAGAGAAGTCGAAGTCCGAACGGTGAAGTATATTCCACAAAAAGCCAGAAAACGAGCAATAACAACGGGCACAAATCAAAACGTATATATACAGCACAAACCGTTCTTGGGAAGCGTTACAAAGTAGCATACTAAAAGACACAAAGGACCAATAGTGTTTAAGATTCTCCCGAGTGGGAAATACAACATGAAGGTGAAAAGAGCGCTTTCGGCGCGAAAACAAAGAAATCCAAATTTTCTAAATAGAATTACAAAATTAGGTCCTTTTCCAAGTGAGTTCTGGGGATCTAACAAATAAAACCCAACAAATAAAACAACATTAATTTCGTCTCTCTATATAAATATATCAGGAAGCAGGTGCGAAAATTTTTAGAAATAACTTTGAGACGATCTACTTTTACGGCAACCTGACCGGGAAATTCCCCCCTCCATAAGTAAGATTGTCTGCAGGATAAGGCGAATCGATCAGCTTTTTGTTTATATCGTTGATGATTTCAATAAACTCCACCTACTGCGTCGTCCTGATCAATAGCAGAAGCTCTTACCATTCATGAGCTAAAGCCAGAACTGTGAGTACGAAAGTACGTTCTATCGTCATCGTTACTGGTGGAGTTTTATTCTCTGAGCTGGTTGGTTTGGTCGTGTTACCTTGACCTTAATTATCATCATTAGTAGTACTGCATTGCTCCTTTTACTTATGCGTTATATTCTTATTATTTCATTCATAATTGCTCATGATACCACTTTATTTATTTCACACCTCTAATGCCTTTAATTACACTAACAAGAATATTTTAATCATATTACATTCACGCTATAATTCGTTAGAAACTCATTACGTCTATTGTTATTACTCACATTACGCAATTCGGTATTACAATCTTTCCATTACATCAACATGGTTATTCCTTGACTTAGTCTATTTCCATAGCGAAGTTTCAATTTGACTATACCATACTACATTTATTCCTGCTAACTTGTATTTATTTGAGGAAAGCACCCAACTACGTCACAAGACAAGCCCTCACGTGGAATCCTCAAGGTCAAAGGAAAAGAGGAAGACCAAAGAACACATTACGCCGGGAAACGGAGATAGATATGAGAAAAATGAACAAGAATTGGATGGAATAAGAAAGGAAGGCCCAGGACAAAGTAGGTTAGAGAATGCTGGTCGGCGGCCTATGCTCCATTAGGAGTAACAGGCGTAAGTAAGTAACTTGTATTTATTAGTTTCAATGCATTCTATCATTTCTATACTTTTCTTACATATCTGATCTTTACAACAAAACTGAAATGTAAAAGAATAGTTCCTTTTTTCTTTTAAAAAATACTCATCGATTTTTATATTACTCTGAAAGATGTATTATTACTACCTTAAAGAACGATAATAAAAAAGTAGAACTATATCATACAACAGTTGAATAACCTCATTTCCGTATCACCTAGCAACGAACAACAACAACAACAACTGATATTCATTATTATAAAGGTGGATTTATTCACATTGAATACACTCAATGCTATTACCTTTCATATGATCATATACTACAATAAACAATTTAAATGATCAAAATGAGATATACTTCAAATATTGTATTGCTTTTTATTTATCTATTGTAGCAGAAAACAAAACAACTTCCAGCTAAGGAGGACATTAAGAAAAGATGTTGAATGTGAATAGAACATACATTGAGGAAATCATCAAATTGCACCATAAAACAAGCTCTAACTTGAAATCCTGAAGGCGAAATGAAAAAAAGGAAGATCAAGAAAATACATCGTTTTGGGAATTGGAGACAGACATCAGAATGATCAATAGCGATTGTAAACAAATAGAAAGGAGAACTCAAAAATAGTTGGTTGGAGAATCCTGGTGAGCAACCTATGCTCCACGAGAGGTGAAAAGCGTAAGTAAATACATTTCTGATTCATAATTTAAATTGAAATGGGAAAGTTAATTTTGTATTGGTTATTTTAATCTTCCTATTGATGTTTAGGATTGTAATTGATAAGTCTCTTAATGGTATAAGGGCATTATGTGCGAGTTGCCTCGATATTGCCTTAAATCATAAACAGTGGAATTTAGGACGCGCATTTCTTCCTATTTGGAACTAGTCAGATGCTTGAAATAGGAAGGTTTGAAGAATCTCCTTATTTTTTATACTATGTACATTAAAATGAGAAGAAAAGATAGATAAGGACAATTCCATTGTATGGTGGATGGAGGTAGTCAACAGGAAACCCTGAATCCGGGTTTCGTGCTACTTGGCACTCATCAGCAAAGTGTACCTGTAATCTTGAGGTGACTGGTGCTCCCAGATGGATTCAACACCCTGTCTCCCAGCTTCACAGTCAGAGACGTTTCCACTGAGCTATCCGGGCCGCGACTGACCTCCTGTAGGACTGAGATGTAATCACAATTGATTGACCACTGGGCCCGCATAGGTCAGTGGTAACGTCTCTGACTGTGAAGCTGGGTGGCACGGGATCGAAACCAATAGGGAGCACCAGTTCCCTCAAGATTACAGGTACACCTTGCTGACGAGTGCCAAGTAGCACAAAACCCGGGTCCAGGGTTTCCTATCGACTACCTACAACCACCATCTAAGTCTCAATATATAGTGCCTGCAGTGTCGAGTCACCTAGACTGGTGGCCACATTGCAACATGGTCGATAACATTCGATCTGTACTAAGAAGAACTTGACACACATGACACCACCCAGTGATCAATCAATTGTGACAATCCCATTGTATTATCCATCCATCCATCCATCCATACATACATACATATATACATATATACTAAAACGCTTATCAGATCAGTTAGTTTTATTTTACAATACGTTGAACAACGTGGTATTTATGAGTTATGAATGATAACAAAATAAACATAATAAAATGAAGAATATGAACAATTTAACAACAACAAAGAAAAAAGAGTAAACATCATTAACAAATCAAAGTTTGACAATTTTCGAAAGGTGACAAAATTAAAGAAGATATGAAAAAGATAAATAACAACTGAAAAGAACTAGAAACGATTGCCTAAGACAAGGTTGCATAGAGAGTGTTGGTGGGTGGCTTATGCTCCTCAACGAGGAGTAACAGGCATAAGTAAGTAAGTAAGTAACAAAATGAACAAACATAATCACAGTATCATTATGATCAATTATTTAATATAATTATTAAGTTTTTGATTGAGATCATGAACCAATTGATGTTAGACCATCACAATTGAAAACCTGGAAGCACTGGACGGCCGTTTCGTCCTATTGTGGGACTCCTCAGCAGTGTGCATCCATGATCCCGCGAGCGGGATTCGAACCCAGGGCCTTCGGTCTCGCGCGCGAACGCGCACTGCTGAGGAGTCTCACGATAGGACGAAACGGCCGTCCAGTGCTTCCAGGTTTTCAATTGTGATGGTCTTACATCAATTGGTTCATGATCTCAATCAAAAACTTAATAATCTCCACAACTCCTATACTCATAATACAATTATGTTGTAAAAGTAGTAAAATAAATGAAGAAGTAATAGTCTTTACTAAGATTGAATATATCTAAGTGTTACATTATGATTTAATGTAGGATAATCTACAATTATACAAAATCATTTGTTTAATTGTCTAAAGAGATTATAATTCGACAAATGTATCCATAAATTATCACATATATAAACCAGTAAGACATAAGGAAAAGAAAACAACTAACAGGAAATGAATAAAGAAGGTATATTCTAAGAACATAATAAGTGTCCAAAACAAAATGAAGATCAACCCATAAAGAATCTTCAAAATAAATCTTTTAATAGACTAAACACTTAACAATATATCATATATGTATACTAATATGAATTAAATAATTTCATGCATTAAATGAAGTAAATAGAAAGCATACTACTCATTATCTAGAACAGATGAATCTGGAGAAACACATAATGATGATGATGATGTTGATATGGTATCTGGAATAGAACATTCAGAGAAATGATGCGGTAAACAAGATGAAGTTGGATTCGAACAAGAAGAAGAAGAAGAAGAAATATGATTGATATATCCCTGCCTTTGATGATTATATGTATGATAATTTAAAAACATTAAAGGGGTATCATAAAGATAATGTGAAAATCGACGTAATTTATACAAAATGGAATATCCTGATTGAGAGAACAAACGAATAATCCATCTTAGATAACATACTACTGAATGATCATTAAGATATTCATATATAGTATTTAAATTATAATTTCTTAACATGATAAAAATGAGAGTTAAGGATTAGCAATAAATATTCATGATTATTTAATGTAGCATAAATGATTATGGTTATATTGTTTAAAGCCATGAAATAAAGGCACCAAACAGATATGCGTCACAAAATCATTCGATTTGTATGACGACTGGGATACTCCCCAAATGCCCAAACTGAAGCACGTGGTTTCCTTAGGGGGCCACACTCCGAGCCTTCCACCCACAGGTCTGATCCACATGGTAGTGGAGTAACGTAAAAAGATCCAGTCTCATGGTAGCCGGTGACCAACAATTGCTTCATATGCAATTTGTTCCATCAAGATACTGGAGTCCATGTGCACCATTGGTTTGGAATCAGGTTTACCAACTAACCTAGGTGAACTCTCTGTATTAACCAACCCGGTTAAAGTGCCAGATATTCGCTTTTCGATCTCTCAATTTCGTAACCAATACCCCTGTCGCGAGACGGCAGTGAGTAGGACTTCTCTGGTAGTGATTGTATGTACGTGAACATGTGAGAGCATTTCGAGAGGGATAGCTGACTCTCCCCACCCTCGGCCATACCAGGGCATTTGGAGGCAGTAAATTACATATGTAATAAACAATTTTGGACAGATTTAATATTTTTTAAATAATACACTTATTCGAAACCAACAGCCTAATCACTTTCAGTCAAATTATGATTTCTAATGTTAGTGATCAATACTTTAACTTTAAATTTATAAGTGAGATGAATTTGACTACTGTTATTTTTTAATATAAGTAGTTTCAATTACAGATTAAATTACTCTGTTTTATGTTATATTTCAGGTGTGATGGCTGATAATCAGTCAGTCAACTACAACCTAGGACCAGGTACATATATGCATCGATTCAAGTTGCCATACCGCATTAACAAAACAAGATGAACACCAAGTTCATCGAAGTAGTTACTTCAATAGTGGTAATATATAAAAGAAAGATTGCATATAAGGATATAGTACAGGAAGAAAGAAAGATATAAAGCTATTTTAACCTCATAGATTAAGGGAACACGAAGAGTGTATATACCGATGCCATTGTGATCGATTCTGAGCCATGTCACCCAGAGTCTACAATCATTGGTTACGATAGTCGCACGGACCCCAATCAAATAGTCTGCACCTAACACCATGGCTAAGACTAGAAGTTAAAGACTTCAAGGACTGATGCCACACTGATAATATCAATCACCTATCCAAATCAAAATATGTAAAAGATAGTTAGAACCTGTAATTGAACTATACGTTGGGTTCTTTAATTACCAGACAATCATTATATATTGTTTCTGAGGTAGTTGGTTATTTCGTCGTAAAATTAAAACGATTATAATGGACCTTCCTAGATTTAAATAAAGTACTTTTATGTCATTATTAAATGGACTCTGACCAGTATTAGCAATTTCAACATCGGAATTGATCATCATCAAAATAACGATTTGTTACTGTTCAAAAACTCTAAAGAAAAAAATAATAGACAATTTGTAAACGCTCTATTTTCTTCAGTGTAATGAATTTGTTTACTCATACAAACATGTTATTCCACACAACCAAATATGTTGAAAATATGTTTCAGTCAGTCAGTAACAACGTAGTACTTCGTACGTACGTACATTAGTTCGAGTCGCCATACCACATTAGCACATAGATGCAGTTGTCGATTTGAATCCCGTAATGGTAGAGGTAGTAAGAATATAAGCAGTAATCTGGAAGATTAGGGTTTGGAGATGTTATTTATAGCATACAACATCAATATCCGGACGAAGGATAAGTGAATGGTAACTGCTAGGATCTATTTACGGACTATTATCACATTCTTATTGGATAACTATTAAGTAACTATATTACATACATATTCATATTGATTTTATTATAAGTTTCCATTTGATCTATTGGCTACTATTATACGATACGCTGCTCTTAGCCTATTCCCAATTTATTAGTAACAGTCTTTCACAATCACAGCCACTTTTTGGCTTGATTATGTATAATTGTTATTTTCTATTTTATGGTATGATGAGGTCTGATTTGCTTGTATATAAACCAAGTATATCTGAAATACATGGTTCATATAAAGAAGGCTAGTATTGGTGTTCTGGACTAAATCGGTTGGATTACGCGAGAAGCTACTATCTCGGTGGACCAATAAGAACTCAGAGTTGACTCTAAATTGCTCGTCATTGGTCTGGTCAGTAAGTCGGTGTTCTAATTGGCAATCGTACCACGTGATTAATAACAGGCCATAAGAACATAACAATTATATTTCATAATTCTTTACATGTCATGAAGAATATCTCGAAGATCATAAGCACATTGCTAGAAATAAGCGGAACTATCACATGAACTGATAATCTTTCTACAATCCACATTAACAAACCCAAAGGACGCAATGGTAAGAGATAAAAAACCCAATACCATCTATAAGAAGCTGAAACAACTAGGAAACATATTACACGGGGGCGAAATGAATATCTCCTTTGGTTTTTTTAAACTCCGCGTATCCGAGTCACACTTATATAAATGCATGTGGGTAACTATTGAAACACGTTCAAGTGGGAAAATGCTAAAACACTCAATAGACGCGAACGAAAAAGAGAATTTTGAAAGGCTTTGTATTTATTGAATAAGTAGACATACTGAGATAACCTTAATTCATCAACCAATAAGGAAAGTGATCAATAACTATGAGGTCAGGTATCAGGTCACCGAAAAGTATAAATATTTAGACAAAGACAACACAATTATGGACAGCAATCAATTAAATCTTACATTGACAGAACAAAATGTTAGAGATATTTGAATAACTCCTTTCAAAGCCTATACTGGTGGTATTGTTTAGTAAAACAAAAACAGTCTTATCTTTGAATCACCCAGTTCAGGGGATATAACATTGACATAGTTTTAGACATGTTGAATTGGGTATACTGATATACTTATCTAAGATCATTTATAGAAACGAAACATAAGCAAGAGTTCTAAAGAGTCGATACTTAACAAATGGATCACATACTTGAATACAGTTTTTTTCTGCATCCGTAAGTCGAGTCGCATCTATAACTTATACATTATCAGTATCCCTCAAAATTCGGGAAGTAATCATGTTTAATTACTTACTGAAAGGTATTACTTTTCCTGTAAGTTATAATTTCAGATGCACTGCCGCTTTAATTCCAAAAATTATTAATAACCTGTACACCAGAATAAAACAGATTTTATGAATAAACTACTGAAATGACAAATCGGTGTAAAATAATTACAAAGCAGAAAATAGACTACTCACTAATACAAAGTAATATACCACAAGTAGAAACAATTTATACGGCTAACATTAGTATGTAGATTAAATAATAATTCTAAGTATAATGAAGAAGGTAGTATCTCGATATAATATGAAATCCTAGACTGAAAATTAGAAAACGCTTGTGTACCAAGATAAGAGTAATGACAAAAAAAAAGATCAACAAAATGGATGGATTACTGGGTAATCATATTTGATGATAAACCTTAACAAGATTAAATAAGAATGATGGAAGTTTATCTTGTTCCAATGGGAGAGATGGGTTAAATCACTAGAGAAGTAACTAAAAAATTTCAGCTTACTGAGTGTGTCAGTTTTGAACTAACACCTTGAATTTGACTAACTGGTAACCAAACTATCAATAATAATATTACTAATAGTACTAATAAACTTAAACAAGGATACATTGGTTTACAATCTAAATATCCACCATTTGTATGAAGAACATATGTACAACCATCAGCAGATCTACCATCAATTGTATAACAACCGGGACGTGTATGAAGAAAAATAAAACCACGATTTTCATAGAAACGTCTTGCATGTAGATTACTATGTAACACATGAAGATAAACAGCTTGTACAGGAGAGACATGTGGTAATTGTGTAATTAGATTGTATAGAGATTTATAATCTTTGACACGCCAAATTATAGATGAAGATGTATCGTTATACTTAGTCGATACCTAGGTGAAATGAAATCAAAAACGAAGGAAAACATAAAAGTAAACAAAATTGATAACGGAGAGGTTTGTGAAAAATATTAAAGTAGTGTTTTTCTTTCAACAAGAATTTAGCTGAACAATCGTCATAAACCAGGGATTATCGGACGTCTACTTCATCTTAACATAAGATTCCTCATCATGAATGCAAAAAAAATAACACGCCAGGTATCGAAATTTTCAACTTTGAGGAGAGTTCGATACTATTTAGTTCAATGAATGAGCATCCAGTGGTTTGCAATTCCAAATTTAGTCGACTCACAATATGGTTGAACTCTATTTACTTAAATCTATGGCAAAAACTTAATGAAAATATTAGATCCAATGAATTGAAACTAATATCAATTATTATTATTAACAAATTAGATAGTTATATGGAAACAAATTGTCATAGTATGATTTTTACATCGAATCTGACCTATATTATTAGATAAATATATGAAATGGAATGTTCATTGATGATCCTGATTAAGGATTTCAACAACTAACCAGAAAAAAAAATCAATAAATCTGAGTTTATTCAGTAACACCTACGATTTGAATATTATAAGTTAATTTAACTGAATTTATAAAATGTTCTCATATGTTAATAGGTGAAATTGGCCAATATGCTAAAGCCTATAACAAAGATAACATGATCAAAATCGCATTAGCATACGGAAAATTAACATATATTGATCAATTTCAATAATTGATATCATGAGTCAATTGAAGCTAAATCACCATGGAAAACCTGAAAGCACTAGATGGCCGTTTCGTCTTATTGTGGGACTTCTCAGCAGTGCGTACCCACGATCCCGCCCCCTCCCGGATTCAAACCCAGGACCTATCGGTCTCTCATACGAACGCCTAACCTCTAGACCACTAAGCCAGCATCCAGTGGTGTTCATGTCTAATTTCAACCAATCCAGGAAGTTGAGCCATACGTCCACCATTGTCTTCAATGAGTTACTATCTCACAACAGATCCGGTTGAACTCAACTTAATTTTATCGAAATAATAACAACAATCCTAATAATTAATAATAAGTTTTTCAGAAATATTAACGAGTTTCCATAGCACTCATTTTGCTAGAATAAACATATCTCAGAAGATTATCTTTATTTATGGACAATATTTGAAGTTCTATGTTTAATTGTGATTAGTCGGATTTACAAACCTATTTGTAACTGATATAAACACTTTACGGAAAAAAAAAACATCCATTTAATATAATTATACGAATACAGATTAGATTGTACAATAAAATGAGAGAATATTTTCATTTAGTTAATAAAAAAGTGAGGAAAATTCAAGAAATCTATTACTGAATAGTACAGTCAAATAGTACACAAATACAGTATAAACACATTATCTTCACGGATTAATCAATCAGCTAGAACTGGAAACTTTCATGGAAAGCATTAAGTAGAGTTGATTAGCTCTGAATGATTACTGAGTGGTCGATTGTAATAAGGTCACTAGTCTAAATGACTAGTTGACGTCATATAGTACTAAGTTAATTGGTGAGAAACCATCATCAGGAAGCCAAGGACCTAGGTTTAGTGTTGGTTGGTATTCGTTGGCTGATGTATCCTATGGAATTTAACACTGAACGATATGAGTTTAAATTAAACTAGGAGTAAACATCCCCTCAACAGTGAGGTTACTTTTTGGTGACCAGCGCCAACTAGTACGAAAATCAAGTTTAAGGCTGCCTGTCATTTGCCTGAAACTATCTAACAACAGTATTGGTTAAGAACCACTTAAAGAGAGTCAAGGTAAAATAAATAGTTGCTCTGGTTTGATACCACTATGCATGCCTACTTCTTACCTAGCGCTAAACAAAGTGCAGATTAGTTTGTAAATAGGTCAGGTAGATTACAGAACAACGCGCTAGGCAAAAGTAATGTTTACTAAGTGAAATTACAGAATGCTTATGGAATATGTACAAATAGTCTTCAGTCATACATTTGCATCGTGTCTTGTGCTCTGTAATCTAAGCTAATTACAAACTGTCTTCTCTTGCCTTTCTTCTGGTCTTCGAAGTACTTTGCATACCCATACTTTTCAACCTCCTGGGACTCTTCTCTTCAGTTATCGACTGTAGAAACTTCCATACTCGTTTCCGCTACGTACTACTGGTGAGTAGTATTCACCATGAGACTAGATCATAAATTTATCGACGATTAGAATAAGTTACGTAAAAAATATATAGACTTATTGCCTAAAAACATCAGTAGTTTACATCAAGATACTGGTAGAAAAAGTAAATACTTATAAATAGAAATAATACTGAGATAAATTGAAGCCAAGTATTTAGCTTACATTGCTGTCAGAATAACAATCTTCTCCATTTCTATGGTGAGCTGGATTCATATTTACAGTTTGACTGAATAGATCTGAACAAGACAAATCACCTTGGTGATTAGAATCATTCAACCAGTCCATATTTTCACCAGATACATAACCAATAAATGATCTCAATAAAATAGATGCTGGAAAATAAAAGTGGGTAGAACAACGTGAATTAAATGAGAACAGAATCAATTTATTATGTAAATTATACCATGTAATGTTAATTAAACAAGTCCCAAATTAGAACATAGTTCTACAAGAACTATATTTCAAATAGCAAGGGTGGATGAAAGTACAAACCACAATAAAAAAACGTTAGTGTACCTATAATTTTTAAATAAGATTCAAGAGTTATTATTTGTTATTATTTAAACACATAAACACTGGTACAAGGAGGCACCAAACAGATATGCGTCACAAAATCATTCGATTTGTATGACGACTGGGATACTGCCCATGTACCCAAACCGAAGCAGGTGGTTTCATTAGAGGGCCACACCCCAAGCCTTCCACCCACAGGTCTGACCAACATGGTAGTGGAGTAACATGAAAACATGCAGTCTCATGGTAGCCGGTGACCAACAATTTCTTCATATACCATTTGTTCCATCAGGATACTGGAGCCCATGTGCACTATTGGTTTGAAATTAGGTTTACCAACTACCCTAGGTGGACTCTACGTGTCCACCAACTCGGGTAAAGCACCAGACATTCTTTTTTCGATCTCTCGATTTCGTAACAAACACCCCCTCCGCGAGAAGGCGATGAGTAGGACTTCCCTAGGAGTGGTTGTATGCACGTGGACATGTGAGAGCATTTCGAGAGGGATAGCGGACTCTCCCCACCCTCGGTCGTACCAGGGCATTTTGGGGAAAGATCCTAGAGTCTTCCTCAAATATCCTCTAGCGCTGACTGGATAAGAAATAACCAACCTAATCCTATACAAAACGTGCTTTAATTCAATCTATATCCCGTTAACACCTCCCCTTTGAGCGAATTCGTAGGATCTCGTGTTAGGATACACCTGCGACCGCGTGACTGATCTCTCTCTCTCTCTCTCTCTCTCTCTCTATATATATATATATATATATATATATATATATATATATATATATATATATATTCGCTTCACTGCATAAACTCTTTTTCTTAACACGTATCACTTCCATTTGTTTTACAGAAAAACGACATGGCTTTATAATGTCAAATCCTCATATACTTTTAATAAGACTAGTGCATTTATAAATTCCGATTTGTGTAGGTTCTAATCTTTAATTAGGTGTTAGATATACATTTATAACTTTAAAAAATTTCATTAGAGAAGAAAGGTTTTATAAGACGATGGTGTACGCAGAATCTAAAATAATCTATTTTGCTAACCTGATAATGAAAAATGACTAGAATGTGTATTACAATCGTAAGTTGGTTCAGGTTAACCACAGAGAAACAATAACAAAAATAAAAAATGCTATTTGTTACTATTACATAGACAGAAAACAATATAAAACTACGGATAACGTAGATCTTAAATTATAAAGTTTATAATATTCATAGTGAATATAATTAGTTAGCAATAAAAATAATCCAATAATTGAGTATATATTCAATTATATTTAATATCTACATCTATTATATGAATCTTGAGAATACTATATATTAAAGCACCTGAATTAATTATAAATAATGATTTAGTTGTTAGAAGAGTACTGAAAATGTGTTAGTTTAAGGATATCATGGAGTATTATTGAGATGTTTATACCAATGTAGCCTAGAATGGTAAAATGTTCATTGTAAAACGAACAACTAACTTAAAAATTTAGAATATAAATTAAAGAGACTTAAAATTCACAGTTTTTGTCGAACAATCAAATCACCAAGAAGTTATCCCAATGTGTTTTGAGCTGAAGTAATTTAAATGTATCCTGATAATGAGTTTGTGCAATGATAATGGTGAGTAACAAAGGCGAAGGAGATTGAAAAAACGATTTGACATTGGAAATAGAGTCAGAAATTAGTGAAACTATAACAGTAGAAAAGGTATTAATAATTCAGTTTCAAATGAGGGTGAAATGCTTACAAAAACAATTCAACTAGCTTGTTTGGGTCTTCAACGATAGAGGTTGGATGTTGCTATCGAAATTGGCTGAAACAATTACTTTCGCGGCTCAATGCAATTCTGTCTAAAATGAATCGGTTGCCAATCATCACAGTTTAAAGATCAAAATTCTTCTTACAATAAATAAATAACAATTAGTTTGACTAATACAATCCCTATGATTTTCATATTTCAAAATTATCCGATAATTAATTATAGCCGGAGAAACTACGTAACTCATTTATAAAGTGCATGGTTATATACTCAGTTTTTAAACACATTGCACGAATTATTGATATTACCCGATTGTCCAAACTAAAATACATGAAGCGAGGTTTAAACCTGTGAACTAACGGTTTTCGATCGAGTGTTTTAACCACTAACCTCCCTCTGGGTACAGTAATTTTGAGAATACCAGAACGTTTTCAAGTTCGATCAAATAGGGATCGATCGAATCAGTCTGTCAGTCAGTAAAAATGTAGAACTTCGTACGTACGTACATCAGTTCGAGTTGCCACACCATATTGGCACAGAGATGCAGCTGTCCATTCAAATTCCGTAGTGGTAGAGGTAGTAAGAATATAAGCAGTTATCGAAATGACTAGGGTTTGAAGATGTTATCTAAAAAGTATAATCCAGTAAAATAAATTTGGAAAGAGAAAAAAGAGACAAGGAGGATTCAGAGGATTGGGATTTGGGTGAACACAAAGAGTGGATGCACCTGCGCCAGTGCAAACGATTTTGAGCCATGTCATTCAGGGTCTCTAACCATCGGTTGCTATCATCTCGCGGTCCCCAACCAGGTAGTCTACACCTACCGACATGACTCAGACCACTTGTCAGTGACTTCATGGACTTGTGCCATGTTTTGATCTGGCCGCCCCTAGCTTTCTTCCAATCTACTCCTATACCACCGAACATCGCACGTCGAGGCAGTCGGTCGTTGGGCATACGTAACACGTGTCCCAGCCATCTCAACTGATGAAGTTTCACTACGTCATCAATTGATTTGCCATCCTTACCTAGTACCCGTTTCCTGACAACTGCGTTACTTACTCGGCTGACCCAGGACATACGAGCAATGTTTGGAAGACATCTATGATCAAATACTAGTAACCTACGAATAACCTTTACTCTTACCGGCAATGTTTCACTGCCATAAAGCAGGAAAAAACGAACTGCTGCGCAGTAAACACGTCCTTTGTTTGATAGACGGATATCTCGCCTACGCCATAAATGACGCAAGTTGGTAAAAGCTAGTCGAGCCTTCTGTATCCGTGCCGGGATTTCGTCACACACCAGACCACAAGGGCTGATGAGACTTCCAAGATAAGTGAAGCGATCGACACGCTCAATTACTTCACTCCCTATCATTAGTTCGAGTGTCAATGCAACCCAATCCTGAAATAACATTTTGCGTTTCGATAGATTCCCGACCGTAGCTGCTACCTTGACGCGGTGGTCGGGCTATATTGGCTGGAACATATGTTTCTGTAGGTTCTACCATGTCAGGCAGGTCTATTGGAGAACGGTCAGAATAAAAGCAGCAACTCAAGGTCTGAGGGAGAAGTTGTACTGCTGACGGTAGAGGGGTGTGACAGCAGTAATATGTTACCATCGGACAACCAGAATGTGCAGCGATGCTGCCTTCTCACAAGGAAGGAAGGGGTTAGGAAAAGTTGACCCTAAAAATTTCACACCTCACCTTACCTCACGGATTTCCGTTTCCGGCAGTAAATCATTTTGATAAACGGAGCTAACACATTAAAAACCTCCCACGAAAAGGCCGTGAGCGACCGACCTCAAGCAGTTGTCCATTGGGCTCTGCGGTCACGCTTCCAGGTTACTAAGACCAACACTAATCCGATTTCCTTTTCAGGTTCCACAAGAAATACTCTTCCACGATGTGGGTAGCCGGGAAGTGATATCAGCCTTCATATCCGTAACATCACATGAGACCAAGTTGGTCACGTTTAAATCCTACCCACACAAACTAATAACTCTCTTATCTCCACGACCAACCCTTCTCACGTCGCTTTACCACCTCGCACCGTTAGTGCAAACGACTCGTGTATGAGGAACGTTATTCCTGGTCTCCTGAAACTACGCTCTAAACTACACGTAGGGATTTTCTTGTATCTGATAATGACTACGTAGCGAGTACAGTGGTAGCTTGACCGACAAAAATAATGGAGTTTCATTGATTAAGAGCTTCAAGGTGAATTATGGCTATGCAGCAACGTAGGATTCAACAAACGTGTATAATTTCGAATACATCTCATAATAAAGCGAAGAGACGGATGTCAAAAAAAGTAGAAATAGTTTCAGTGACAACAAAAAGAAAGAAATAGAAACAAAAACAATAGTTTGAGATGAGGGAGCATAATATACGGACAAAAAGTGTGAAATATATTTCAGACTCAAGATTTAAGGGTAGACTTAGACAATGTATCTGACCTATTGCGACCGATCCCAAATATTATCTTCCAACATCTTCAAACGTTGGTGGCAATTAACGCACAGACTCCTACTACGTACTATGGATTTTCAACAATCATAAACAAAAGTAGTGATAGAACTAACGAATTTCGCGCTCCTATACATAGGTTTATCTAATTAGTCACACCCTAAGTGAGAGATTTGGCAGAAAGTATTTGCAAAGACTGATATCTACTAGCTAAACCATTTTACGATGAACCATAATTTTTTATAACTTGTACATAGGAAACAGTATTGATTTGATGACCAGACAAAAAGCTAGCTGGAGCATGTTTACAAAGCTGAATAAGCAAAAGAATGGAAAATTGAAGCTCACCAACACCTCTGGACCTGAATGACGACGTAACACCCAAACTAAGTATGTATGCAACTCCGGTCGAAAGTGGAAAACTCGATGCAAGTAATTTATTATCCTGAAGCACATAACAGAAATGAAAATCGAAAACCAACATCAGAACTACAGTTTCCCAGGGTCGTTACTGTCCCTACCAAGATACCAACTAAGTCATCACCTGAAACTGCTGCAATAGATATAAGAGATGAATTATCAAGGAGATCCTGAAACCAAGAGGATGGATAGCTTAACAAAGGTTATTTACAGAAAGTATACCTGACTGGAAAGCATTCCTCATAAAGTGACTGCAGCTTTATTACATCATATTTACAAACAGAACGGAATCTCAGAACGCTTATATCATCTGATTCCATCCTGTTTCCCGACAGACATGACCTTCAAAATTTCTCTAAATTAGCGGCAAGGTTACAGCCACGAGTGTTAAATGCAATATCCACTGACTTTTTAAAATTAGACATAAACCACCAAACTAATAAGCGCTCATATCTTGCTTTTAAGTAGTGTACCCCACTTGAAATCTTAATTTATCCATCTTGAGTTTCAATTTAAAAAATTCCCTTAGTTTTACGTTCGTAATTAGCTGGTGTATCTTTGTTATGAACGTGAACTAATCAATTAATTTCTTTGCACTCTCCTCTTAATGCTTCCGTACAGTTCAATGTCTTTTTAAACAATTGCTACTATCTATAGTTTCCATTACTAAGTTTAAGTGAACTATATGTGTCTAACTAGTTATCGGCTTTTTCTCTTGTTTCTTTTATCAAACTTCCTTATGAATGCTGTTCTACACACTATCATACATCTTGTCCGCATACCAGACGCGAGCAGAAACATATTTGATTCGAGTCACAGACGGCTCTAGTAAGAAAAATTCGACCGTCTAATCTAAGGGCATAACAAACTGGCATTCCCAGATTTTTTGTGCGCACTGATGTAACATCTATTCGCTCTGTGTCAGTGGTTTTAATGATTGGTATCTTCCAATTTCAAAAATTTAGAGACGTTAAAGATATATTGTGTTTCGTAACACTGTTGTTGATTTACTTTTAGGACATAACAAAATAAGTTGGAACAGAATTTAAGAATAAAGGGATGTATAGATATACGTAGATACTGGTTGATACATTGAGGTGTATGTGATCTTATCTGACTACTTTTTACAAGAGGTGAGCAGTTCGGTATAATGAAATGTGGTTATTTCAGGGTGTTTGATCGAGCTCCATTATCTAGGAATGTGTAAATCACCACTAGAGACGACTTATGCGAATAGTTGGCGTCTACTCGAATTGGATGGGAAAGGTGTGACTTCTTAGAAGAAGCAGGTAGTCAAGCGATCCATGGCGTGTAATTGATAAATGTGAGCTGGTCACTCTCAACACTGACGGAACTCCTTAAATACTCAGTGATTTCTTGCACAACATAAAAACGGAACAGCTTGTTGGGTGATATAGATCGTGCTCACTGACATTTCGTGGAGCTACAGATGTGTTCAGTAACGCTGAAGTTTTATTCAATGTTGAGGGCCTTCAAATTTTTTTATTTTTTGGGACTTATTTACAGCTACAAATTGCCACACCATCGTTCTTTTCCTTGATTACCTGCTTTTGTATTCTTAGTAAATAGTAAAGTCACAGGGACCAATGAATATCGTTTCACCAGATACTAGTTCAATATGTTGTTTTGAGTTGGAGTAACACTAAATTCGTCCGGTTCAAAATGTCATATAAATCAAGTTCTAATGGCAGCACATCAAATTCTTGTTTAGTATTCCACTTTTTACTCCGCAGAATTTACTGTATTAATTAACTGAATTAAATCCTTGATCAACGTTTCAAAATCCGTTGAACAGAATAACCTATAAGTATCATTTACCAAGGATGTTATTTTGGGTTTTCGTAGAATGTTATTTGTTATGGGAACATAAAACTAGTTTTGTTCTGCTAAAACTTCAGAGAATAAAAATTTATTTTCTAATGAAAAGCATAATAGAAAATAAATACTGATATTGACTGCTTAAATGATCAACTCGATCAGTTGGTTGGAAATAATGTAAGAAACCTCCCCGATGGATGTACATAAATGCTCGACTCGGTTAGCTTCTGACCGACTAAAACTGCCTAACCAATGAACCAATCAGAAATTATAAATGAAAGGTTGTTTCTATCTTGCGGAGTCGCTAATGCTGCAATGCTTTTGAAAAATTACAACATCGTGATTGATAATTATATAAGAAATAATTGGTGTGAGATCGGAGTAAGTCTAAATCGTGAAACTTCAACTCAATTTTTATCGATCCATACATTTCTATGCATCAGAACGGATGGAAACTTGTATACTAGCTCTATCAGATTATGTTGTGCGCAAAAATTGATAAGTGAAGGGTGCTCAACCATAACTAATATGAGGCGATCAACGGACCCTCACTTTATTGACTTTCAGTTAGTGATGTAGGTCTTATTGAACCAACGCAAGTCATGGCGACATATATCGTGTTGTTCCCTCGGGTAGAAATTATTCAAACACTTCATACCCTTGTAAATTACAAAGATTTACAGAATCCCAAACCTTCACGAGTATTTCAATTGATTAAAATAATTCCAAAATATATTAATTGTCGTATCTCATCGTTTAGCCATGAAGAATTGTGAGTTTCTCAATGTTTTATTTGTCTTACCCTGAAATCTTTTTTTTCTACAATTTTATACCCTCTTATATCTTTTGATTTGCTATTAGTCCTTACTTTATTAAACCATTAGTCATTTTCATAGCAGTGTAATATACTAAGTGGACATCTAACTCATAAAACAAACTTTTTAACTATCTGATTTGCTTGTAACATGGACCTAGTAGAGACAGTGTATTTCAACTATGGGCTTTGATTAAAGCAGTATTCATACTTACCACAAACGTAAGAAAGCCTAACATCACAAAAGGAGGGAGGGTGGCGTTACTGACCAGCAAACATGATGGTGGGGAGATAACTTCAATCCACCCATGTCTGTAGGGCAGAATATTTTGTTTAATTGCGGCTCCTTATGGTTTAGTGAGATGTCACGAACTTATGGTATTGATGCTGAATTATCACGCAAAATAACTCTTTAAATCGTGTTACGCATGTTGAATTGGTTTCACTTCCTATCCAGTAATCCTATTACAAGTAAACTGCACAATTTGCTAATATACGAAGCCTACTCAAGACCCTATGATACCTGAAAAAAAATAATACAAAAAAACGAAAGAGGCTCTAATAGCTTCGATAAAAAAAGAAGATAGCCAATTGTATATCACAATACTGTTTCTAGCACTAGATTTTATTTTATATCCACACATAATCTCATACTCTCAGCTCCTTTCTGAATCGCCTCCATTTGTCAGTTGTATGTTCACCCACACCTTGTTAACACTTATTTTCTTTAACCTATTAAAATGCTCTTTCTTAACATATACCTTAATAAAAGAAAATTAGACCGAGTAATCATACCTTAAACATTCCTTCATGAATATTGGCTACTCTGCCTCTCATCCTTTCTTTTACTTGCTCCCTCTTTCAGCCCCTTGTGATACGGTACGAAAGATTTCATCCTGCACCATCCTCAAAGCCTTAGACATTCTAAAGGGACATAAGGTTGCGACATTTCGAAGCTCCCACCTTCAATGGACCTATCCTTGACCATCAGTTGCACATTTGCAACGCGACTTTCATGAAGCGCGCCAACTGTGGTACTGATTAAAACCATCTACTTTCATATCTTATAAATTATCAACCAAGCTATGTAATTTACTACAGTGGATATTGTATCATTTGTATCAATTTGATCTTGCCTGTAAACTAGCATGCCTCATGTAACATACTGTTATTTGAGAATAAATTATTATTACATATTATACGCTAAGCACGATAAGGAATTCTTTTGAATTACTTATATCTTATCTTGGGAACCTCAATTAGAGTACTACAAATCTGATCCACCTCCTTGTGTAAATGCCATCTCCCTTAACCAATAGAAACTTGGGATACCGTTTCTGTTAATTAAATATTATTTCGAGCCTAGAAATCAAATAACTTAAACTGAGGTTTGATAATTTCCACTTTCTTGGCTTTTATATATCCGTTTGACAAAGCATCGCGCAGGCTGTTAGCCGTCAAGTCAAAAGCCGATTTCGAGTTTTAAATCCGAAATATTAAGGTTCGCAACCTTTATCGTGACCAAGTTTTGTTATTCTGAACAGTACCACAAGTGTAATATCTTCATTTATTTGTTTCAAATACATATGACACGTTTTTTGTCATTTTTTGTCATACTTTTATTTCATTTTTTTCTTAGAAACTCTGTTCGCAAGATACAGCATTCTAATTTGATGAAGTCATGTTAGTTATCCGCTTAGAAATTTGAACGTTTTAGATGTACACGTGTATTCACCTTTTTAAAATAATTATAAGTGTTCGAATTGCTGTGCTAAGAATTACCGAAATAATGCTACTTAATGCAGATAGAACTAGATGAGCACAAATGAACGTTTTATATTTGGAATTCGTCATCAGAACGCTATCAAGTACAATGGAATTATCAACAATTACAAATATCATACCATTGCTTATTCAATCTCTCTATCGGCCTATTTTTATATGTGATTTTAAATGTTAAATCATGTTCAATTAATTCGTGCGGGTAATAATACCCAATTCCGAGCTCGCTTAATGTCGACCTAACGGAATTTCTGAAGTAAAATCCTCTACTCTTCGGTATTTGTATTTTATTACCATTATAGATCACCAACGAGAGTGACCTATATTGATGCGCGTGGTTTACTCTAATTGGGCGAGAACTGTATAACCTCATAGTTTAGGTAGAAACCACACCTCGCGGTTAATACTCAACGGGGTTAACTGTGGTGTTTGATTTGACTAATGATACTTTCGTATATGTTGATTGCACGATTTCGAATTCCAAATACAGTACATTCGGTTGTGCCTGTGTCTTCTTAATTCAATTGCGTTATTTCTGGGACTCTTAGTGCTATCATTCCAATAATTCGAAACATTATACTGGCGTCGCGATGCTAATTTTTCTAATGATCCATTGCTCTGCAATGGCATTCTTAATGAATTTCATGAGAATATTTCAGAAGAATCAAATTCTTATGTTATATCATGTATTACCTATCCTCATAACGCATTTGGTCCTTGTGAAAAACCTGTTCAATGCGAAGCACGAGTATTAAGTGAGCTCACTTTTGATTACAATTTGGATGATTTCATACTAACTGCTGTTCATCCTTATCACAAATCCACTTCCAATGTATACTCTAGTCAATGTAAGAAATATGTTCTAAATGAAGTCACATTATTCAT